TTTTTTTTATATTTTTAATAGATTCTCATAATTTTGAATAACACAGGCATAAATTTTAAATTTTCATATATATATATATATATAATTACTACAAAACGCGTATAGGTGAAGTTCTAAAATACTTCACCTACGATTTTATCACCGTTCAAAGTTTATCACACAATCACCAATGACTGATAGTGTTCGAATTTTAAAACGTTTTTTATAAATCATAATGATCTGAAATTTTGTAGGTATGTGCGCCTTAGTGAGATGCACATGAATAAAATATAAAATAAATAATTTGAAAGATAAAAATTACATAAAATACCCCTATAAAGTTTCAGATGTAATTTCATCATTTTATTTTATGTCTATTATTTTTTGAATATTTTATTTTAGTGCCAATTGGTCATATGTACACACGCTCCAAATTTTAAATAAATATGATTAGTACAATAATTATAAAAATTCAAATACTACTGGACAATTGTAAACGTGTGATGAACTTTAGACATTGATGATATGTAAGTGAAGTACTATAGAACTTCACCTATAGCCATTTTGTAGATGTTTATATATATATATATATATATATGCAGAAAATACAAAGGCTTCTCTTTTAGCCTTTGTATGTAGATGCTTCCATATATATCTACTTACTCTCTTTGATTATTATCTTTGTATCATCTTCCGCTACTTTTGAAAGGTGAGGCTTTTATTTCTTGTTTTTTTTCCTTTCAAATGTAAGCTAATTTCAAGAGGATGGATAGCTTCAATGTTTTCTCTTTTAACTACATGAAAAGTTTGAAAAGTATTTTGGACAGTATTAACTTAGGTATTTACCTAGAATTCTGGGTATTTTATTCCTTCTTTTGTAAGCATATCCCTTAGCCATTTGAAAAAATTTACATTTGTTTTATGTTGTAACATGAATTTATTAAATTTTATATGAAAAATTTATTTTAATCTTTCATTAAATTCTTAAATGAACAATTCTCATATTTGTTTATTTTCATCAGAGAAAAAATCATTTTTAACCTATTCTTTATCTATGGTAAAGTCATCTTGAGTTTGGATTGTCAAAATTTCAAAATCGAATTCAAACATAGTAGGTTCTTTTTGCTCAGTTTGGGAAGAGCTGGGAGTATTCACGGTATAGACTGGGTGTTGAACCTAGTTCTCAGTTTTCCTTAAACTTTCAAGAATAATTCTATCATTATGAGTCATTTCATAATTAGATTGAAGTATAGAAGAAGTTGAACTTCTAAGAGGAATTCTAGAAGGAATTCTCGGAACCATATTCGAAAAAATAGTATTAGAAATACTTATCCTTGTTCTTCTGGAGGATGAAAATTGGATTTCTATTTCTCTATTAGGATATTCTATAATTTGTTCTAGCTCAGTATTTTCAAGAGTTGGTAAACAGGTCTCAGATTGCAGAGACCAATTTTCAGGTAAATTTACCTGTTTCTAAGATATGGATTTTGGTATAACCAAATTGGATTTTTCCATGTAAGTTTGAAAAAATATTGTTTGTCCTTTTTTATCCATTTGTCTTGCATTAGGACAAAGAGTATTCATAACTTTATAGCAAATTATATAAACAAAGGCCAAATTCTGGGATCCAGGATTCATATAAAAACCTTGGGTTTTAAGGTTAAGAGTCAAAATTTTCAGTAAGTTTGGATCAGATAAGGACATAGAGAAATTTGAAAAACATTTAAAGTATATAGGTCCATTGCATACACTTGATTCAACGATTCCTAGAAGAGAGTCATTGAACCTTCTATGTCTATTATCTCTTAAACAAAGTAAAATCGAATTATTTAAACCAGTTCTGGTTAACGGTTTTACAGCTATTTGTACGAGACCAATATGGAGATAGTTAAACCCCTTTTAATATGATCTTTAATCATTCTCGCGGATAAGAGTTGGAAGCTATCTTGGTTTTCCATAACAGAAAGAGTTTCTTCAATGGTTTTTATTGAAAAACTACTCTTAAATTCAAAGGCTCCCTTTTTGTATATATCATTAGTAGGGACCTTCGAAATATTCTAGTTTTGTAATTGTTTTTCAACATTATCTATAATAATTTCCTCTGTATTATTTACCCTTAAAGTATTACTAGTAGAGGCGGTCTTTCTGAATAGACTTACCATTTAAATCTTGGGTTTTTTCCCTTGAGTCAACTGGAAATAGTCCTCGCACCTTACGGCATTCCTGGCTCACGGTGGTCATTGGATCACAACGACTTGTAGGGTTTATTGACCAGATTTAAATGTGCAAATAGGTTCAGTTCACCACTTAATACAACTTAGCTTTAATACCAAAAGATTATGAGAACCAGATGGCTAAAATTGAAGCCATACCCCACATAATAAAGCATAACAATTATACAAATATCTTCCTACAGATCATAAGAAAATAAACTAATAGGATAGAAAATGTCCTAAACACAATAAAACCTCAACATCAAGATAAGAAAGAAGAAAAAGAAAAGGGACCAGTTTTATTCAAACCACCGCCTAGTATTGTGGTGGGAAAATTCAACCTACATGGAATTAAAAAAGAAAGAGGATAATAAAGAATTAGTAAATGAATTGGTCAAACGACTTAAAAAACTAGATATCAAAAGGAAAATCCAGTGGTGTACAAGTCCTCCAAGAAGATAAAAGTTTTTCAAATCAAGATATATCTGAAATAGAAAAAGCTTTTAATCATAAAGCTTATAAATCAATAGAATAGATCATGGGAGAAAAACTAAGTCAGTTGCACCAACTAGAATGTACTACCCTAGACCAACTCCTGTAGATATTCAGATAGAGGAAGACCTAACTGCCAGTTCAGTTTCCTATTCAGGAAGATCTATAGTAAATTGAAATCTATATGGGACAGATTCTTGATCTTATGAAACATATGACCTTGTATGCCCCCGCATGTAAAGTAAGTGAGAATCAAGACCACGAAATTGCTAAAGTCATTATATGTGGATTTACCGAATGGCTTAGAAGATGGTGGGATTTCCACATGGATGAGGAAGCCAAAGATCAAATTCTAAATGCTGCTAAACAATACAATATAAAGACTAGGGTCGGACCAAAACAGGTCCTAGAAGATTTAGTAACTGGGGGAGATGCAGTAAACACATTAATATATACCATTACACTCCATTTTATGGAAAGTACGACCCTTTTATCTGCTAGATCTAAAGATCTACTTTAAAACTTACGTTGACCCACTCTTTCACATTTTAAATGGTATAAAGATGTATTTTATTTCAGACTGCTATCCAAGGAAGATAGTAAAGCCGAGCATTAGAAAGAAAAATTCATTGCTGGACTTCGTAATCTATTTGCTAAAAAAGTAAAAATAAGATTAAAAAATAAGCATGGAGGAATTATTCCCTATTCCTTATATCTCCTTGGAGAACTCTGAGCATAAATCTGTGTTGAAGGTCTTGCATTATGCACAAACATGAAATTGAAGAGACAATTAGAAAAGCAAAGAATGACTAGAAGAAAAGAATTAGGAGACTTTTGTGAACAATTTGGGTTTAATACTTTACCAACTTCCAAGCCTACTCACAAACAAAAATATAGAGACTCTAGAAAATCTAAGAGTAATTATAAAAAAGAAAAGAAAAATACTTTTCCTAAAAAATTCTTACATGATCACTCTTATAAACAAAAGGGGAAAAGAAAGATACCAGTTTGTTAC